GAAGTTTCGACACATTCATTTACGCTCATTACGATAAAATCATCATGACAAAACATATACGTTCATTACGATGAAGAAATCATGAAAATTCAATGAGGTGAGAAAAGAGGTGAGATCTAACCATCTACCCTAAACATTATTTTTGGATCATTTACACTCATTCCGATGAAGAAGTTTCGACAAAACATTAACGATAAAATCATCATGACAAAACATTAACGTTCATTACGATGAAGTGTTCTGATGAAGTCATAACTGCCTTCCTCCTGTGTTGTTGTCTAAATGTCATGTTGTCTCATTTTTTCAGAGAAGTTAAATGACCTGTAGCACATGGTAACATGGTAGCACCTTCAGTTCTTCAAAAATAATTAATTATTGAATGACCTAAAAACCATTAATGAAAACATTATTTTTGGATCATTTACACTCATTACGATGAAGAAGTTTCGACAAAACATTAACGTTCATTACGATGAAGAAGTTTTGACAAAACATATACGTTCATTACGATGAAGAAATCATGAAAATTCAATGAGGTGAGAAAAGAGGTGAGATCTCACCTCTTCACCTAAACATTATTTTTGGGTCATTTACGCTCATTACGATGAAGAAATCATGACAAAACATTTACGAAGAAGTTTTGACAAAACATATACGAAGAAGTTTTGACAAAACATATACGTTCATTACGATGAAGAAATCATGACAAAACATTTACGAAGAAGTTTGACAAAACATATACGTTCATTACGATGAAGTTTATTTCCTGCTGTGTTGTCAAAATGTCATGTTGTCACACTTTTTCAGAGAAGTTAAATGACCGAGTGACACATGGTGACGTAGTGACACCTTCAGTTCTTCAAAAATAAGTCATAACTGCCTTCCTCCTGTGTTGTTGTCTAAATGTCATGTTGTCTCATTTTTTCAGAGAAGTTAAATGACCGAGTGACACATGGTGACGTAGTGACACCTTCAGTTCTTCAAAAATAAGTCATAACTGCCTTCCTCCTGTGTTGTTGTCTAAATGTCATGTTGTCTCATTTTTTCAGAGAAGTTAAATGACCTGGTGACACATGGTGACGTAGTGACACCTTCAGTTCTTCAAAAATAATTAATTATTGAATAACCTGAAACCATGAACGTAAACATTATTTTTGGATCATTTACGCTCATTACGATGAAGTTTTGACACGAAGTGAAGAATTGCACTTCGTCAAAAAAGTGAAGGTTCCCGACGGTTTCAAACCGCCATACTTTACATTTTGTACAAAAATATTGTGAGTAAATGAACTCATTATTTTTTGCATCATGACAAAACATATACGAAGAAATCATGACAAAACATTTACGCTCATTACGATGAAGAAGTCATGAAAATTCATGAGGTGAGAAAAGAGGTGAGAAAAGAGGTGAGATCTCACCTCTTCACCTAAACATTATTTTTGGGTCATTTACGTTCATTACGAAGAAATCATGACAAAACCTATACGAAGAAATCATGACAAAACATTTACGATGAAGAAGTCATGACAAAGCATATACGATGAAGTTTCGACAAATCATTTACGTTCATGTTTGACAAAGCATATACGATGAAATCATGACAAAACATTTACGATGAAATCATGACAAAACATTTACGAAAGAAATCATGACAAAACATTTACGATGAAAGTCATGACAAAACATATACGAAGAAGTTTCGACAAAACATGTACGATGAAATCATGACAAAACATATACGATGAAGTTTTGACAAAACATATACGAAGAAGTCATGACAAAACATAAACGAAGAAGTCATGACAAAACATAAACGAAGAAATCATGACAAAACATAAACGAAGAAATCATGACAAAACATTTACGATGAAGAAGTCATGACAAAGCATAAACGAAGAAATCATGACAAATCATTTACGTTCATTTACGATGAAGAAAATCATGACAAAACATGTACGTTCATGTTTGACAAAGCATATACGATGAAGTTTTGACAAAACATTTACGATGAAGTCTTGACAAAT